TAGGTAAGATATTTGGAGACATTCTTTACCCACAGAGTGGTGAGGCACTAAAACAGGTTGTCTAGAGAATTTATGAATGCCCTGTCCTAGGAAGTTTTCAGGGCCAGGCTGCATGAGCCCCCCAGCAACATGATCTCATGTGTGGTGTCCCTGCTCATGGCAGGGAAGTTGCAACTACATGATCTTTAGGGTCTCTTCCAACCCAAAACATTCTATGATTCTATCATTAACAGGAGGAATTCTGGAGGCTTGCATTAATTCAGGTTGACTTCCTCAAATACAGCACAATGTTTTGTTCTACATTTTTTCAAATTTATTTAATCTGACAGTGTTGTGTTGTAGCTACTGCATTTGCAGTTGTCTTTGCTCCTGCTCCCAGGGTGTATATGGCTCATTCTCTTCCTTTCTACTTTTGCTTTTCCCTGTTATGCCTCTTACTGCCATCCTGCTAGGGAGTCATTCACTCGTGCAGTCTTTTGCAGACAGATGAGAACATACTATGTATGTGCCACAGACCAGCTTAAAACAAATATTAATAAGCTGTCAGTAGCAAGCTGTAAGTACTATTACACTTAAAGCTGATTTGGTGCACCTGGAGGTTCTAGTGTCCCCATACTTATCTGCAACCAGATCTGTAACCTGTGTGCATGTTCCATTGGGTATTGTTTGTTTTCTCTTACTCTTATTCTCTGGAGATTCACTGCAAACCTCTGAGGTGAGGTGCATTTTAGTAGGATGTTGAAAGATTATAGACAGGGGGATGGGAGTGTCCACCCAGCTTCTGTTAGATGATGGGACTGCTGAATGTGCTGAGTGGTATAACAAGGGACGCTATTGCCTCTTTAGTCTTGCATTGAAACTGCACCTTCTGTGCATTTATCACTGTTGGTGTGGGATTCTCTAATGCTGTGCTTTCCCTGATCTCGGTGCTTATCCCCCGCTTCTCAGAAGAAGCTGTGAGGAATAGTGGGTGCCTGCACAGTATGATGTGCTTAATGTTTTTACTTGACTTTTTAACCACTCCCAGCTTGACAACATTGGATTCTGTTCTGCCTTTACTGTTTCAAGCCATGACAGCATTATCTTCCCCTTACGTCCCTCACAATCAATTCCCAGATTTAATTCTAGTGTCTTCATATTCCTTCTTCTTAACATTTGCTTTTCTTTCCCGCAATGTGAACAAGCTATTCATTCAAGATAAATACATACAGAAGATCAGCTGTTCAGCTTCTCCCTATAGTGAAATATTAATCTGGGCTGCTGAACTTGTACCATTTTATATGGAAAAAATTTTGTTTAGTATGCTTAAGAAACAGAATCAGCAGTGGTGGTACCACTTAATGAAATCTACATAATTTTTTCCAAAGCTTGCAAGGCTGTTTTACCCTTTCTCTGATGTTCCCTGTGCAGCCTGATTATTGCAAATGCTACTTGCTCCCCAGTGTGTGTCTGCAGCATTGGTAATTAGTGCACAATACGATTTGCAGGAGGCATGAGGAAAAAAGCACTGAAGTGCATTGATTAAAATTGCCACTTAGTTTAGCAACAAGACAAGCTACCATGTACCAAAGTCTAAATTATTTGAAGTGGGGGGTCATGGGCTATATGAACAATAAAGTGGTCTTAAAAATAAAATTAATCCTATGTCCATTGGTCTAATAGTGTTCAAAATGTCTTCCCCAAAGCGTTCTACTGACAAATTTTGCATGTTGATTAAAAAAGAAATAGCAGCTTTATTAAATGAGTAAAAACCTTTCACCTTAATGCATTTGGGCAGAGTGCTTTCAGTTTTGGGTGGAAGAGGCTGCCATCATCTTCTCTCTTACAAAGTCAGTGGAGAAAAAACAGATCCTCTGTGTTTCACCTAGTATTTCCAAGAATGCCGCTTACAGCCTTCCTGTGATGCTACTTAGTCTTACCCATGTGCTTTAGGGAATTGAATCTGGATGAAAATGTGTCCTGCCAATGTATGTTGTCTAAAGAAGCAGCATTAGCATTAATAAATGCCAACACAGTTCTACACAGTTCTAGTACTATTCTAAATTCTCTTTTTTCTTTAGCTGCAGTAATTTACAGTTAAAAAACACATATCTTTACATGGCCCAAGGATTTAGCAGAAGTGCAACTGCTAATGCAGATATTTACCTCATCATGCAGTCATGTTCACTTCTGGTTTTAAAAATAAAAATCTGCCTGCTGAACGAAACTGTCTTCTAGAGACCTTTGCTTCTTGTTTACGTCTCATATTCAGAATGTTACAGAAAGCCTGTTGACTCTCATCTTGGCCCTCTTACTCCCTGCTGCTCTTCCATGTAGGCATTAGTGATATTGTTGGGGTGGCCTGGGAGGTGTTGCATGTGACTGTATGGCTTCGGGCATGATGCTCAAGGGTGTGGAAATCCAGGTGGTGTTTGCCTTGATCCTTCTCCTAAGAGGGAGGGGCATGGAGGAGGGTTGAGTGAAGTAGATGAGGCCTTCTTCAGAGAATTGGAAGATCTCTCATGTTCAAAGGTCCAGGTTCTTGTGGGGTACTACAGTGGTGTTAATGATTTGCTGGAAGGACAACAGAGGGCTCAGGTGATCTGGAAAGTGCTGGGGACATCTTCCTGTTACAAATGATTGAGGTGCCAGCAAGGTGATCTCCAGTGGTCTCTACCAACTTCAGTGACTCTTCTGTGGTCTCTTCTTAAGTCCTGGAATGAAAGGAGCAAATTAACAAAACAGGAACAGTGAAAAGAATAAAAACTGCTAAGGGAAGAGAAGCAGCCTAAAACATCATCTAAACTTCTTAGCTCTCTGAAGTGAGATTTTTCTTCTCCAATTTTCATAGGACCAAATTAGAGTACCATGGTGCTAAACAAGGAAAAAAGGTTCCTGGCAATACTGTTACTGGTTATTTCAACAGATATACATTGTGCTTGAATTCTTCCACAGGATGCAACACACTTCACTTGAGGCACTTCATATATATATATATATATAACTTATAGAATAAGTGGATGCCCTAGAGAGAAGGAGGAGGAAAAGTTGTCATGGCAAGTGAAGCATTGCAGCTCCCCTGCAGCATAATGTGCAACTTCATCTATACAGACACTGCATCTGAAACAGGAGAAGTGTACAGGATATTTCAGAGGAAGTTCTTTATAATATAAATCAAATGGGAAACACAACTCCCTATGAAATGCTTTGCAAGTGTGGAAACTCAGACTAGGTTAGTTTTCAGATAGTACTTACTAGAAAGGATGTAAAATTTTGCTCTTATATATTGTCACTCCCAAATTGAGTCAGGTTCTTAGAGTATATTTGGTGATTTTTTTTAACATATGTTTCTTTAGAGATCCTTGCTCCTTACTATAAAGAGGAGTAAGAGATCAAATCCAGTTTTTAGATGTAGCAGCACTTCAGAGGAAATCTGCTCAAAAACCTGCCGGATTTCCAGTCAGTGTACAGTTGTTTGAAGAATCCAGGTGGCTGTGGCCTTGTGTTCTTTCTGCACTAGCTGTGAAATGATATGAGGAACATATTTCAGTCACAGTACTGAAAGCAGTATTGGACTTATGGAAAAATATTTTATGGTAAAGGTCCCCACATGCTAAAAAACAAAGATGCCGATACTCTGTTAATTGTTGTTTTTCTAGGGTAAAGATCAGTGGTTACAGTTTACAGCAATGGTTAGAGTGGATTCAAATAAGTTTGTGCTGAAGTGGATGCAGAGAATACAGATGAGCAGTGGGTCCCATAACTTTTTTCCTGGAGGTGGTAACTCATATCTTCATATTGGAAGTTATTAAACTGACTCCAGCCAATTCCCAAGTCATCTCTTAGTGCCCTTGGGCTGTTTCCTGAGCTCTTGGCTGTGTCTTTCCTCGTTTAAGGAAAGAGGAATCTGTTGCAATACACTTGAGAAACCGTTTTCAGTATTTTTTTACTTGGAAACTGTGCTTATAACTGTGTTTACCTGCAGGAGGGCAACTAGATAGTGATTGATTTGTATTTTTGGTCTTTTTCTACTTGATTTCAACTGTATAGACAGTTTCTTATTATTTTTGAGGAGGATGTTATAAGGTGGATCAAATAATATATGCCCTATATTTTATCCAAAACGTTTGGAAACACTAACTTTATTAAATAAGCAAAAGCTCCAATGTTTGTTCTCTACTAATCTAAATGAAAGAATGAAAAATATATGCACATTTTTTCCATTTCCAGTGGTTTTAGGCTGCTTCCTTCTCATTTTTTAATATAATTCTATAATTAAAAGGTACTTGTTCTTACTTTATGAAAGAGCATTCGTGGTATGTGGATCTTTCTTTCATTTAAATGCCTTGATATCAGAAATATGTCCTAAAAATATCTAGTAGCCAAGCTAAGAGAACTAGCTATCACACTCAACATTTTAATCAGATAATTTTTCCCTTTGGCACAATTTCTGCTTTGCATTCTTCAAGTTCTTTAGTTGTATGAGCCTGTACCTCACACTCTCCAGGAATGAATAATGGTGCTTTAAATTTGTTTTTACTAATTACAGTTTGATGATACTCCTTTTGTAGCCAAAATAGATTTGAAAGAAACCTCACTATAAGTAAGAGTCTAGTTATAACCTAAAAATTTCCCTCTCTGTTGCAGAAATTCATCATATCTCACTATAGTACAGCTGAATTTTGTAAAAGAGATAGCTAAATAATTTTCTACAGTCAGCATTATTTTAAGAAGTCATTTAAGGAGGAGGAGGGATTAGGAAATGATTATGAATTTTTCATGTTTCCTTGAGAAAAATCCAGTAAATGGGTTGTAATTCCTACCTACATCCATCCATGCTGTAGGTAACAGCTCTCATTCCTTAGTGAAGGGACAAAGAAGTTGTGAATCTGGAATTAAATCACTTGTTCCTTTCTACTACTGTATTATAATCTTGTAACAAGCCATTTTCAAATGAAAAATCGCAAGTTTGTACTTCATTCTCCAAATGAGAAAATGTATTTTCTTCTCTTCCCAATTAGAAACACACATCTCGGATCAGAAAAAAGAAGACTTCTGTGCTGAACTTCAATTTTATAAGAATTCCCAAAAACACACAGAATTTTCTATCCAGGCAGAAACCGAAGCACCGAAACTTTCAGATTTGCAAGTAATCAGTCAAAGAGGAGGATTCCTAACTGACTGTAATTCTGGTTCAGAAGAATCAAGGTAAACCCAAGAAATATCCCTCTATATAGTTTTTTAAGATTCAAATTATTGACAATATGCACATGGTTTTTTGAGTAAATATAGGGAAGTTTGCTTCCCACATGCAATCAGTAAGTCAGCTTTTTACTTAGACTCACCTTTTCTGCCCTTCTTCCCTTGTGGAATGTAGCATTTCACCTCTGTATTCTCTAAGCACTCACAGAAAATATGATCTTTGCAATTTTGAAAATGCATGCTGAACAGAATAAAAACAGATCTTGAAAACCTACTAGTATCTGTGGCTTTACATAACAAGCACATGAAATGTGATGAGTGAGTAGGAAACAGGAATAAAGCAGGGTGAAGTCCACATGAAGCTGGAAGAGTGAAGATGAGAAGCTGTAATACCTTGTAGCAGTCTGTGACAGGAATCTGAGGACTGGCTAATATGATTGAAGAGTTTAATACAGACTCTGAAGATTTTATTGTGTCACTAATTTTGGTCATTTCTTGTCACTAGTGTTTTTACTGAGCAGTGGCCCTCTATAGCAGTCTTAAGAAATATATACACTCATTCTGTATCTGACACAATGTACAAAGGTATAAGTAGCTAGTTATATCTTTGACTAGACAGCTGGTTAGGGAACAAGCTACCAGTTTTGAGTGGCTTAGGCAGTCTGAATACCAATTTTCAACTGAGAGTGTCAGAGTTGTTTTCGAAAATGGGATCAAGGCTGCAAAGCCCTATTACATACTTTTGAAAAACACACTGATTCCTCACCTGTCTAGCAGATTCTACACCCGGTTTTGCTATCTTCATTATGATCTAATGGTGACTGTTTGGGCCAAACCCAATTCTTAATGCCTTTTCATTTTCCTTTTTGCCTTTTTGCATTAGCAGCTGAGATTTGCTTTAAGGGCAATGCATTCTGCACTAAATGCCAAGTATAACCCAAAGTGCTTAAGCACAGCCCAGCACAGAGTTACCCAAAAATTGTTAATTTCAATTTTTCAACAGCACCACTCCCACTGACAATCAGGCTTGTCTGGAACACTGAGATTAACCTCCAACAGCAGCGATCATGTTGAACCATCTCAGCTCCAAGTATGTTATATGTAGGATCCTAAAGCTATATGCCAAAACCTATCTTGGCCCAAATAGATTTTGATCAGAATATATGTTAACATTTCTTGATATGGAAAAACCCAGGAAATGTTAAGTCAGTGTTGATTTGTGTTTTAGATGGTGGTCCTGGTACTGTCAATGTGATTTGTCATTTTTAGTTTTAAGGAGAAGGGAAGAGAAAATAAATACAGTGGAAGCAGGTGAAATACAGTGGAAGCAGGTGAAAAAAGGGTGGCTGAGTACAGACAACTGTCTGTGTAAGATAATGACTCTTTGGAGCAATAGATCGCTTTCTTTATCTTCCTAGGATGTGAATTACACATAAAGTAATGTCTACAGTGGCAGCAGGAGTTCAGAAGGTATAGCTTTTCTCTGGCTACTTCTTATCGGTTATTAGCTATGAAGTGTATAGCCAGAAAATGCTTAAAGAAAGAAAACGTTAAAAATATTTGCTAGTTTCCTTTCTAATAATTCATTTACTGATTTTGCTGCCATGTTACAAAGGAGATCTGAGTGATCTGTGAGTATCAATGGAGACCCAAGATGTTTTGTGAGAGTCTTACTTTGAGTGAATTTTTCTGGCCATTGAATCTTGTCTTATTTTAAGTTGTCTATGGCTAGTAAGTTATTTTAAAACTCCAGGTGGCATACAGTATGGAATTCCTGTTGTCAGGTATAATATTTAGAATCATACCATCATTTTACAGATTTCCTACCATCATTTCTACAGATTCCTAGATTTTTTTATGGATATTCTCATATCACTTCCTGTGGAATCATCCCACAAAAAAATTTGGTTTGCTTAGACCTGAGCATCACTTTGATCCCCAAATGTTTTATTACTTTTTTCTCTGTGTTAAGCAATGGCTTTTAGTATTTGCTTTCCTTCAGCATTTTCTGTTTATAGGCTTCATAGCCTATTTGTATTCATCTGGTTTTTGCCTTAGTACTGTAGGGTATTTATTTACTATTCCAGATTTGCAGATTCTTTTCAGAATTACAGCTTTAAGAAGTGGTAGAAGGGCATCCATTTTTTTCTGACTATTTAATACATTTGCAGTGATTAACAAGTTTTTGATAATTTATTTCTGTGCATTTTGTTTCAGAGGGGTGGAATAACAACAGGTTTTTAAATTATTTTTCATTTCTTTTGCAGTAGTGTAGAAAGAAAGGATAACAGGATGCTCCCTGAATTTATATCCTCATGGAATGATGCTGAAGATTTCGGTGGAAGAACAGAAACTGCATTCCTTTTAAAAGAATTGGACACTCTGAGGGCCAAAAATAAAAAGGTACAATTGCGATATTCAAGATACCAATATTTGCTTTTTTATAATTGCCTTGCAAAACATACATTTTAAACTGTGCCTGATTTAGTTTTGTTATTTATTTTAGTGCACCAATCACTAGCTTCCCGTAATTTTGGATTTTTAGTGTTTGCTTAACAACAATTTCTGTGGAATTAAACCCTCCAACCTGCTCTCTGACTTTTTTGATCAATAGATTCTTGCACCCTTGATGAAAAACAATGAAGACCAAAGACTAGACCAGGATGTCATGGGTAGAATCCAATTAATGTTCCCTGATAACTCAGCTTTATTGAAGAGGAGAAAATTCCATCTTCCTTGAATACTGCATTGCTTCTAGTGTTAGCTGTGGTTGCATGTGCCTAAACAATCTGAGAGTCTCTAGTCTTTCCATAAAGTGTCATTGAATATTCAAGCTCAGATATCTGTCCAAGAACAGATTTAGTGAATACTTTTTAAACAAAGGCCTTGATATGTGAAAGAATACCAGTCTTCCATCTGAGAACATGAAAAAATATACATTTACACCAGTCTTTTCAGACTGTGATGTCTGTATCTTGGTAGGAAACAGGCTATTAATGCAACCACCTACATTATATTCCATGCAATTCTGAACTTCCTTAGCAAGAAGGACTACAGCTGGTGATACCTGAGGAAGAGAATCCCAAATAAAAACAATGGCATGTGTACTTGTCTCACAGAGCAAGATAGCCCAGGTGTTAAAAAAAATATTCTTAACATTTCTTCTTTAAACAAATAAATATAATAAATTGAACTTCTGGTTTAATGCTTAGTGTTTGTATTTTGAGGGTGAGAAATCGTTGTTTGCAATTTTATTGTGGTTGAATTACTTGTTGACAGTTTCAGCTAGATAAGAATCTTACTGTCCATTTGCTCAATTCAGCTTCAAGATAAGCTGGCTGAAAAGGACAAGGAGCTGAAGACGATGAAACTGGACTTAGAATTGCAAGATAGAGCTACAGAAGCTAAGATTGCAGAAAGGATTGCAGGTACAGTAGGCAAGCGTTTAACAGATGGCTGTATGGCTCATACAGTACCCGTGGTTGCTATATGACGTGGCCTAGTGAATGTTAGCTTTATTTGCTAAAGGAGGGAAGATTTGACTTTTTTTTTTTATGTGTGGCTGTTTAGAGTTGCTTAGAAAATAGATGGCTTTAACATCCTGGTACTGGTATTAGTAGGAGCTTTACCTGTATTCATACTGATTTGGGCATTAAATGCATTGTTAACACCATGTCAATCCAATCACAAAAAGGTTGTTTGTTTTGTTGGAAGGTCCTGAACAAACAAGGGGAAATAATGATTACCAGTGCCTCTACCTTTCAACCAGCAGTTCAAATACCACTTATTGTTTTAGCTGGTTCAGAGCAATACTACCCCCTCTCCGTGTTTGGAGATAGTCTCACAGTCACCTCAACCAGGGACCTGGGCTGTTCTTGAAAAATCTGCTCTTTTGGTAGCTAAAATGAATTTTTGTCAGATGATGGCATATATCCAGTGAATGAAGTTTATATGAATTTTCAGAAGGAAATGTTTTTGAGTGTATATCTGAAAGCGAACATGTGCTTGTATTTGTTGTTAATTGTTCTTTGGATAGACATGCAAGCATGGAGACAGTTTGTATTCTGTGCTTGTGGAAACTGCTAATGTAATGAAGTTGGGCATTCTTATTATTGAAAAGTGACTGTGTATAAAGTATACCCAGTAGATGAAAAATACTCTCAGGTTTTCATGAAGATGTTTAAAAAACATTAATGGGAGTGCTTTTATAAATTCATTGTATCATTTGTTCAGAAAGAAAATGTTAGCTTGGTAAAATTGTTTCCTCATAGATCACACGCACTTCATAGAGTATTAATAGTACTAATAGCTGTCCCCAAAATATTTGTACTAAAGGGAGGAGTAACTGTCTTCAGGAAAATGGAGCAGATAATAAACTCTCTAGCTGAAAAACAGATGGCTGACATTCCACTTAATAACAAACTCCTGAGAATATGGTGTAGTGTGAATATTATAGATGGAAAAGAGAGTTCCTAGATTTTCTGTGGTGGGGGAAGGGAAAGTCAAATCTAATCAGCATCTTAGAAAAAAAATAAAATACAGGCATAATTTTTATTCTTATTTAATTTCACATATCTGCTTGCTTTATTTTCAGACAAAAGAAAAATCTGCACTCTGTGTCATTGTTATATCCACTAGCCGAAAGCTAACGCAGATTGTTTGGCTTGAATATGAAGTTTTCTGTTTGTTCCTGGATATTTGCCCAGTGTTTTTACCTCTGTACGTGATTCTGTTTGGTAGAGGTGTTCATTGCTCATTAAAACCTGGAAAGAAAGGTGTGTCAAAAACACAGATAGTTTCATTTTTATGGATATGGCTGAAATACTTGTTAGGAAATTGTTGTTTTCCTACACTACTGCTTAAACTTTCTATTGATGTCCTAAACATATTTTTCTCTTCAAAACAGAATGGCATGAATATGGAAATAATAATTTAACATGCTTATTCTGTTTTTAAAGGAAAAATAAACCAAATTTTAAAGACAGCTACATAGTGTAATAACAATGACCTTTAAAAAATAACCTTTTTTTCTCCTTTTATGAGTACAGGAAGTATAAAATCCTTTAAATGCTGAAGGGAGAGGGCAAGAGGCTCCTTACTACTTAAACTGTTTGCCAAAAGGAAGCATCGTTAATACTTCACAGTTTTTTTGCTTCCTGTCTTGCAGTTCTAAGAATGTTACCAAATTTGGATAAATGGTTTAAAATCTGGAAATATGTGAACCCAACTGGATTTGTGGAAGCCTCTGTGTGTCTCTCTCATAAAAACCTTGGGGAGAGTTCTAATGGACAAGCAGAACCTAATAAAGAACAGACGGTGTGTTCAAGGAAAAACTTATCCCCTGCATTAACTTCTTTGAGGAGGGGAGAACACATGCTGCTGCGATTTCAGGTTACTAGTTAATGTTTAATTACTGCAGTGTGTAACACATGGTATAGTGAAGCTTGTAAATATGGGTGTTTGCATTTTTATTATTACTTAGTACTGACTTTATGATAAGTAAGTGACTCCACAAAATTATATTGTAAAGAACATAAGAAAGGAACACCATAAAAGTGTTATCTACTTTAAGGAATATTAGAATTCTGTTTTAAAAGGTAACCCTGTAATTGATAGGTTTTACCTAAACAAGCCTCATGGAAAGAATTGAAAAGTGAAGACAAAGAGCATTTTGAAATGAAGCTACAACAGTCTACAGAAATAAAAAATCCAGAGACTGACATTTTGTGATTTTTAAATTGTTCAAAGTAAAAAGTAAAGAAAAAGGGGTAAATTTATGAAATGCTTCATGAGAAAATAAGAAAAAGTAGAATTAAAGCAGAAGATATATATGATGGAAGAAAAGTATTATATTGTGTGAAGTAAATAACTTATTTTCAGAATGTTTTTATTTTAAAATTTTGCTAGCTAGCTTTGAAAACATATTTTAAAACTTCCTTGGATCCCTATCTCTATGTCAGCTAGTTGTGGCTAAAGAAAATTAGAGAATTTAAAGTTTTGATTTCAGACTTTTAGGCATTAGAGACTATTGTTTTTGATGGACATAGTTACTACAGGTTCCTGCAGTTTATTCATTATTCTTCTGTTGGATTTTGTGTCATTCTGGCCCAATGTCAGAAGGTACTGTTAGTTTCACTCCCTGTCATGAAGAAGAGGTGGAGGCAACATCAGGAAAAGCCAGGGAAGCGCACATCATAAAAGAACAGACACCAGAAGAATGTAAGCAAAAAAGGGAACACCACGAAGGAAGCCGGTATGAAGAATAGCCAGATCTGAAATTTGGGTGTGCAGAACTTTCATATGTTGAACAGAAAAGGGAATGGGTGTCACCTGTGGGAGTGGTAAGGGGAAGGAATATACATCTTCCAAGGACAGACTGGAAAATCAAGATGGAGGCATTGCAAAGGAGTAAGTCTTCAAAACAGCTAGCTGAGAGAACAGGTCTCCCTTTGGATGGATGTAGTAAGTGACTTCATTTTTTCCTAATGGAAGAATTAAGCAGGGGATATATATATGAACTTTTAGAGGAAGGAGATGGTTGAGTGTAAGGGAGAGTTATAGAGCATAGGGGTAACTTCTCTAGACTGGAAAAAAATATCAAAGCCCTATTCTCACAGTGCCATTACTGCAGCAAGGTATACCATAGTTGGCAACAGACCCGGAGCTCTTGGAATATTTTTGTTGCTATCAGAGTATATATTGGGACTAAGAATAATTCTGAACAAAAATATAATAAAAATATTTATCCTTAAATCTTTCTGTAGAAACAGCTATTCCGTGAGTTGGGTTTTTTTAATGCCAGTATCTTAGTAATAATATTACCAAAATTTAATACTTTCTTAAATCAATATCAGCTCAGCAGGGTTGAGTCCAGCCCTTTTAGGGGTTTTACACCATTTTTAACACCTGAAAACTGTATTAGCATTCTGTAGATGCTCTCTGAAAGACCAAGGTAATGATAGGAAATACAGTGTGGAAAAAGAGGAAAGCAGTACTTCTAACGTGTTGGTATACATCATACAACTTTCAGTCTCTTGGAAACTAGGGCAATATACCTACAATGAAGTCCCTATTTCAGGTCTGTTTTTATGAAAATGTTGTGAATATACATTTGTGGTATTTTGGAATTCTTGAATATGGTGTGGAAATATTCATGAACATTATTTGAAGTTTTCTAAATTAACTTGAAAAATAATTACTGAATATGCATATGCAATAGATTTAATAGCAAAAGTAAAAACAAATATCCAAGTGGCTGTTAGCTTAGAGTTAATTTGATTTAATATCCATAAAGTGAGAGGAAATAAGTAATCTTGCCAGTAATAAACTTTGGGTGGCAATAACTTTCAGCACAGAAGAAAAGTATTTTCCATTTCTTCAAAGCTCACTTTAGAGTCCCTTTTTAGATGTTATTTTTCTTTCCTGCATGTCATCCATTAAAGATTAGCTGTGGAAGGTTGGAGCATGGAGAGATTATGAATGACAGAACAACTCCTGCAGAATAATAATCAGTTTTTGGTATTTAATGCTGTTTGACTTTTGCAGACACATTTCTTATTAACCTTTGGTGCAAACAGAAATCCAGGTTCCTGATATCTCATGGAGAAGATGAATTCAAGATCCTCTTCCAATTAAACTGAAATAAGGCCAATATTGGGCCTTAGCCAAAAGAACTCAGTAGTTCCCAACTCTCATGTTTATAAACCTAAATATGAATGATATTTTACAGTAAGAAGGTAATGCATATACTTCCCTAAACCAGTTTTCTGTGCATAATTTATTTATACATTTAGTCCATATAACTTTTAGGGGGCTTGCCCTATTAAATGCTTCATTATGAATACTATTTCCTGAATGTATTTTCAAAATATTTCCTGATAAATAACACAACTTTGAAAATAGCTGCAGGATTTGAATCCTCTGCATGGGAAGGTAGAAAATACATTTAAAGAAAATAAAAGAAAAAAAAACCCCAGGGTGGGGGCATCATGACTGGTAAATTCTTGGCTTAATTTTTAACAGTTTAATTTGAAATAATGTGATTTTACCTTCAGATTGTCAGAATTGTTGATTGTCAAAAAGTTGCATACAGCTCTTTGAAGTACAGTATATGATGAGTTGGCATAGATTAAAATGTCATTTACTAAGCTGTTTGTTGGTGGAGCATGTATGTAGAAAGCAAGCCAGTTTCTTCTGCATTTTTCATGGCTAGTCTGTCCTTTCTTCCACACAAGTGCTGGATGAGCATAAAGAATTGGGTTTTATTCAGGAATAAAAAGGTCTGCAAATGATCTACTTCTTGGGGCATTACAAAACTTTCCTTTACCATGACAAATTTTAACTTGCAAACTTTAATGCAGTGTTTATATTTTTCCTCTAAAAGTAAATATTCAGGCATCAGCAATTACCCACTGAAGAAAAAAGTTTA